GCCCCAAGCATATCTGCTACTTCCTTGATCACTGATGATCTGATCTGGAGTTCAGAATGAAAGCGATCAATACACTGCAGCTTCTCCCTACATTTTTCTCTTCGCAGAAAGAGTCCAGCATTTATTAATTGTTCTCCTGCCATTCCCTTTTTAAACCTTAATCTTCTCTCTACCAAAATTCAACATTTAGTCTGATTTTAAAAGTGCCTTTTCAATAGCATGTTCCCCCAAGTGACAGAGCTAGTCGTGCAGAAAGAATCTGAAGGCCTCTAGGTTTGTCACCACTTTGTCAAGAGTAAAGCCTTTAGTCTGCAGATACTGCTGTGTAAGATTAACTTCCTCAAGTAGATCAGCCCAAAGGTAATGATAGCAGATAAACACATCCATTAAAAATCGCTTTATTATTATTTCTTTTCGGATTGGCCTGAAAACCTCCATGGATTCAAAACATTTTGGCAGCATTATCGTAACCTTGAGCTCCGAACATCATTATGTCTAGTCCATCACGTTCTAGATTTGTAAGAATGTTAGAACTGAGGTCATCAGCTTTTTCCCTCTTAACGGGAAAAATGTAAGAAACACTTCTCTCACTTCAACTTTCCCATTGTGGATTTTCCCATATCTGATCACTTTAGACATCTGGTCACTGTGTGATATATCAGGTTTGAACATAATTTCAAAATACCTCACAGCTTTTATATCCATGATAGAATCTCCTTCACATGATTTGTAAGGACATTTATAAATTCATTTTGGATTTCTGGTGAAAGGTAAAATGCGGCTGCTTTTTCTGTAGATGTACTCCTCTTTAGTCTCATTTTTTGCTCTTTTAGCACTGGGTCATATTTAGATAGTATCTCAACTATTTCTAGAAAGTTTCAGTGAAGATTCATCTTCGTTGTGGCCACGAAATGCCAGATTTTGCTTTGCAAGAAACAATGTGACATCCAGCAAATGTCAAGGGGCCATACTAGTGACGAATCGGGGAAAATATTAATTTTTTAATATTTCTGGGTTTCGATTTATAATATTAGATATGTCTTCAAAAAACTTTTAAAAAATTTAAATTTAAATAAATAAGAATTAATCATTAAAAGATTGAAAATTGTGTAAAAATAATATAATTTTTAACCCTATAAATGGGTAAAAAATCATTTTCAATGTGTTTTCTTTTTACCGACATGATCGTATTTGGTATCAATGTAAAGCCCAATTTCTCAGAATTCAGATAAATATAGCATCCTGTCGCTTACGCAAGTTACAGAACATTTCAATCGTAGTGGAATAATGACTGTGTTTCTGACCTAAACATAGGGTCATCTCATTTCTGACGCATGAACCTTGAACTTTGAATAAAGCACGCATTATTTTTGGATTGTTTACATTTGTAAAAAAAATGTATGCCTGATCTGTTATCCTTTAATGTTTCTAGGTTAGACCGAGCTCTGTAAATATGCAATTTTTCAATCGGGTGTCACCCCTAAAATGGTGTCACCCGGTGCGGTCCGCACCCACCTCGCTACGCCACTGGGGCCAAGAATTAATTTGCTTTAAGTGGTAAATGGCAGAGAAATAAGCTGGTTTGGGTGATGGGGGACAGAGAAATAAGATGGTTTGAGAGGTAGAGAACAGAGAAATAAGATGGTTTGAGAGGTAGAGGACAGAGAAATAAGATGGTTTGACGGGTAGAGGACAGAGAAATAAGATGGTATGAGGGCTGAAAGAGAAAAGAAGTGAGAGACATGGCTGCAATGGATTCATGTATCGTGGATTCTACTGATGTATCGTGGATTTTAATCATGTATCATTTATTATATTCATGTATCATGGATTCTATCCATGTATCTTGGATTCTACTCATGTATCTTGGATTCTAATCATGTATCATGAATTATAGTTGAGAACAACCTCGTAATGGTGGCTAGAGAAATGATGACCAGTCTTGTTAGTCTCATGGTATGAAGACTATCATGGCGTAGCTTGTTAGTCCCATGTATGAAGACTATGATGACGGAGCTTGTGTCCGTCCATGGGAACCCCGGCCCCAAAGTTTTTATTTACTTCTTCTTTCTATCCTGCTTTCCTTACAGAATTCGACATTTACTGCCAATCATTAAATTGTTTAGACAAATCTCATTAAACTGTTTAGCACCTCTGTCTGCGTAGACAAATCTCATAAACTGTTCAGCACTCTGTCTGCGTAGACTAGGGGTCTCCAAATTACGACCCAAGGGCCAGATGCGGCACACGAGACCCTCTCATCTGGCCCGGGTAGATCTTTTTGTCTACGAAATAAAAATTACGGAAATTTCCGTCTATCCTGCCAAGATAATTCACCGCTTACGTGGACGTTATGGTTTTATCGAATTAAAATAGAGGCGAGCAGTAGCGCGTTATGTTTGCCAAACGGTCACTACATTGCCAACTGATGAACTGCAGCTGGAGGTCATTGAGTTGCAAGCAAATGACCTCCTTAGGGACACATTCAAAGAAGGACTGGTGGGTTTTTACCAGTTTTTGCCCAAGGAAGACTTTCCTTAAGTCAAAACGTTTGCATCAAGGCACCTTTCAGTCTTTGGAACAACATGCCTGTGTGAACAAACAGTTTCATCAAGGCACCTTTCAGTCTTTGGAACAACATGCCTGTGTGAACAAACAGTTTCATCAAGGCACCTTTCAGTCTTTGGAACAACATGCCTGTGTGAACAAACAGTTTCAAGGATGACATATGTGAAGAACAATTTGAAAACAAACTTTGTCCGATGATAATCTCAGGTCACTTTTGATGTTAGGGACATCAAATCTAAAGCCAGAAATGTCTGCTACTTTGGCATCCAGGAAACAATTTCACAATTCCCACTAAGACAGGTCTTCATGTGTAGTGTATCAATGTGTTGTTAAATAATAACTTAATAGAAGAACATGACTCGGTGATCAAGTGTACAGGATAGGAGAGCCATCAAGGGGGCATATATATGCTAACTGGCATGGAAATAACACATATACATATACTAATTGAAATGAAAATTAGAAACATGCTTATACTAATTGGCATGGAAATAACACAAATACATATAATAATCTGGTGGTAATAAAACCCATTTTAATTCTCTTTGGCATGGGAAAAGTTCACATTGATATACTAATTGGCAAAGAAATATAACACAATACACATACTAATTAGCAGGAAAATAAGGAACATACATAATATACTATATGGAAATAACACAAATACATATTAATAATTGGCATGGGAATAACACACATACATATACTAATAGGTATAAAAAAACACACATACATATAATAATTGGCATGAGTGTAACACACAAATATAACAAATTACTATGGAAATAACACAGAAATATACCAATTACTATGGAAGTAACACAGAAATATACCAATTAACATGCAAATAAAACACAACTGTACCATTTAGTATGGAAATAACTAACAAAAATACAAAGTAACACTTAAATTAAACACAAATATACCAATTGAGATGGAAAAACATAAAAATATACCAATTAGCATGGCAGTAACACTCAATTATACCAAATGACATGGAAATAACATAAATCTATACCAACAATCATGGAGAAAACACATAAATATACAAAATTAACATGGAAATAACACAAAAATATGCCAATTAAAATAGAAATAACACACTCATATATCAATTGCCATGGAAATAACAAATAAATATGCCAATTAGAAAAGAAATAACAGACATATACCATTTAGAATGGAAATAACACACTTATATGTTAATTAGAATGGAAATAGTAGACACAGATCAATAAGCATGGAAATAACACACATCAATATACCAATTATCATGGCATTAATAAACATAAATTAACTTATAAGAATTGGCATGGTAATAACACATTCATCAACTAATTAGTATGGGAAAAACATATACCAACAATCTTGAAATAATAAACATACATACACAAAATAGCATGGAAGTAACAAAAATATATATTAATTATTAGCATGGAAATAACAAACATATTAACATGGAAATAACTTGCATATACACAAAATGACAATGAATTATAAAATATACAACACAAATTAGCATGGAAATAATATATTAATACACAAAAATTGTTAAAACACACATAGATATATAACAACATGCATAAGAGAAAACATACATACACATAGCAAATAGCATTGAAAAACATTCACACAATTACCAATTAGCATAGAAATAAGAAACATACATAAACAAAATAGCATGGAAACAAAAAAAATGTTTATACAAATTAATGTACCAATTAACATAAAAATAATAAATATACATATATTAATTAGCATGGAAATATGAAACATACATACACCAATTAGCTTAAGAATAACACACATAAATATACCAATAAGCATTGGGAAAAACACCTAAACATAAACCAATTATTATCAAATAAGACACATGCTTACATCTATTGGAATGGACAATCAAATTTACTTACAAAAATTAGCATTAAAAATAATACATACATGAACCAGTTAGTATGAAATTAAATTTACATATATAAATCGGTATGTGAATAACACACTTACATATACTAACTAACAATGCAATAATACACATACTTACACCCATTAGCATGGGGAAAACACACATACATATACCAATTAGCATGGGAATAACATTTATATACTAGTTAGCATGGAGTAACACACGTTCACTTACCAATCAGCATGGAAAAACACAAAAAAATATGCCAATAAACAGATATAATAAACACAGATACACCTAAGTCAGTAAAGCTTCGCCGCTCTTGTGCAGCTCTTCTGTTCTGATGCCTTCTTTCGCTTCCAATGCTGTCGTCTGATGCCAGTGCCATCTTCCGGTGACATTGTTTGCTCCCAGTTCCATCGTCTGCTTCCATTGCCATCATCCGCTCACAGTACCATCGTCCAATCCCAATGCCATCGTCCACTCCAAATGCCTTCATCCACTCCCAATGCCATTGTCCACAATCTGTGATGTCCAGTGCTACTCATTCTTCCCTGTGTTACTCCTATTAACACATACATAAACCAATTAGCATGGCTATAACACATATCATTTGGTATATGGATAACACAGATACATATACCAATTAGCAATAAAATAATACACATATATACAACTATAAGCTTGGTAAAAAACATGCACCAATTAGCAAAGAATAAGACACAAACATAAACCACTTAACATGTATAAAATAAAAATATATACACCTACCTCTGTGCTGCTTCTCTGTCCTGTTGCCATCATCAGCTCACAGTGCTGTTGTCCACACCCTGTGATGTCCGGTGCCACTCATTCTTCCCGGTGCCACTTCTATTAGCATGGAGATAAAATATATTAATTGGCATGTGAATACCACAAATGCATATACCAAATAGCAATAAAGTAATACACATACACACACCTTTAAGCTTGGGAGCTCCACCGACTCTCTTTCCATTAATAAGTCCATAATTTAACTACACGTTAGAGTCACTTCAAACTAAAAACTAAAAATCATAATTAAAGCAAAGACTCCTTCATATGCATGACCCACCAATGACTAAGATAAGTATTTCCGGCTCCTGGACTTTTGAGCTGATCCCCAACATGACTTGCATGTAGCTGGAAAACATCTCGGGAACCTCAACATGGCGCTGAGATGATAAAAACAGGAAACCATTATTTCAGTTTTTGTCCCTTTTTCAAGTAAAAAGGTTCAATTTGTAACTACGATAAAAAAATTATTAAAGACAAATTTCTGAAGGGATGACAGGTAAGAAGAAAATAACAAAATTCAAACATGTTTTTACATGACATCCAAGCTGTGTGTGTGTGTGCGTATGAAAAATTATAATTTAAATTACTCTTTGTAGGTTTATATAAAATGATCTTATGTTATAAATATCAATATCAGTAAATTATTAGAAAACGGCCCGTGATGGCCGCCATCTTGGTTGACACAACAAGTTAATTTTGTCATTAATGTATTCCTTAATCGATCCCTATGCCTAACCTGAACCCTAATTCACTGCAACTATAAAAAACATGCAAATGACGTCACGGGGTGAAAACTAAGAATCAGCCTCAATATATTCTAAGTTTGGATAAAATTGTGAATTTTTCTGAGATTTTCAGTTAAAGAAGATGTTAATATAAATTCTAACTTTACTTTTATAGCAGCAATAGGTGCTGGGTGGCTGAGCAGTCTCCACTGTCTCAAACCAAATAGCTGGTGGTCTGGAGTTCAATGCCCAACAAAGCCAACATCCCACGCACCCAGGGTGGATGGTACTCACTAGCCTTGGATGGCAACTCACCCAAGAGAAGACAAACTCTGAATTCAAACCGGAGCCAGAATGATCAACACATTGATCGTGTGCCCTTAAATATAAGAAAAAAGAAGAAGAAAATAAAAATGTGAACAAATTGTTGCAAAGGTTATGGCTTTTTTTACAAAATCACAGCCAGGGCAAGGGTTATGAATTGTTTGACAAAATCACAGCATGGGCAAGGGTTATAACTGGTTTGACAAAATCAGAGTCTGGGCAAGGGTTATGACTGGTTTGACAAAATCAGAGTCTGGGCTAGGGTTATACTTGTTTGACAAAATCACAGCATGGGCAAGGGTAAAGACTTGTTTGACAAAATCACAGCATGGGCAAGGGTTATGACTGGTTTGACAAAATCACATCCTGGGCAAGGGTTATGGCTTGCTTGACAAAATCACAGCCTGGGCAAGGGTTATGACTTGTTTGACAAAATCACAGCCTGGGCAAGGGTTATGACTTGTTTGACAAAATCACAGTCTGGGCTAGGGTTATACTTGTTTGACAAAATCACAGGATGCTACAAACAGCAGATTATCAAAATTTCTGAAAATATTATTAAAAATGCATTATATTTATTTGTACCATTTAGACAGCTCTATAGCGGGTAAGTTCTTGAGGAAAAGCGTTGCCAGTGGGCAAATAATCAAGGGAAATCAACTTAAATATTCTTGGGGAGAAGGAAAACTCCAAGCTAAAAGCTTTAACCACAAAAGCAGCCAATCAGTCATCAACTTGACATGGGGTCTCCACTATTCCAACACTATGTCTTGAAAAAGAAACTTAACAAAATTAAAGGAGTTTTTATTCCCCAAAGATGGTAAGTTATTAATTACCTGCATATAATGACAAGGCACTTCAAGATTGCTGCCATCAAGTCTAGGCTTTCTAAATTGAAATCTTTGATGGTGTTCTCGCTACATTTTTGAGCAACCTGACCAAGGTGTTGTAGCGTGAATTTGGGTGTTCGGTTAAAAGTGAACTTTGATTGTAGAGGCTGTTGACAATTTTGTTCACAACAGTTTGTCATGAGTTAAAAAAATATTCCTGGCATCATATAGCAGTGCATTTAAAGTAACTTACTTTATTTTTATTTTTTTTAATAACATCTTACATATTGTATCTAAGCTACTTGTGCAGGTTTGCATTACATAATACAACAGCAACAAAAATAAAATAAACTTACTCTTCAATGAGGTGCTCAAAACCAATATCAAGAAAAATGGCTTAAAAAATTGTGAAGTGACAGGTGAAATCTAAAACTGTGTCTTTGTCCTTCTGTTGAGGATAATAAAAAGCAAACAAAATTGATTTCAGCAAATGAGGTGCTCAAAACCAATATCAAGAAAAATGGCTTAAAAAATTGTGAAGTGACAGGTGAAATCTAAAACTGTGTCTTTGTCCTTCTGTTGAGGATAATAAAAAGCAAACAAAATTGATTTCAGCAAAACGTGTGAGTACAGTAATCAGTAAGCACTAATGGTACAAACAAATCACATCAAAATATATGGGTCCCAGTACCAAAGATTCAAGTATAAAAATTAAAGCCCTCATTAATTTAAAAAATCAATATTTTAGGGTAATATTAATATTTTAATCTAATTAAAGGGACGTTGTCATCTTCACCACTTCATATGTGTCTGCTCATATTTAGGGGGATAATTAAGACCAGCCACATATAAATTGGTGAAGACGACAACTTCTCTTTAACTAGATTTAAACGATACATTTCTTCCCTAGAAATATTATAAAAGTAACTAAACTGAAAATTTTCTATGAAAACCTAGGCAGTGACCATTATCTTGTGACATCAAAACTTATATTAATAAGGATGACAATTGTAAAGTTGGCCAATGCTAAGGCCAAACTTTGTTAAAAGTAGTAGC